GACATCTACTTCATTCAGATGGTCAAATTTTCCCTTCTTTTTTTATTTATACCATTTTGGAGTCATTTCTTTTTTAGGGAACAATGAAAGTCGAAAATATGGTACTTAATTATTTCATCTTTTCTAACCAATATATAGAAGGGAACGATGAAATCCAAATTTCACCCATTATTTATCCGAACATTCCAGTTGTTCCATGAATTGAAAATTTTTGAATACAATTCAATATTCCATGAAATAAAACGCTTCACTCAATATATTGTCCGGAATTCATTTATTTATATTACAATTTTCCTATTGTGATTAGCTTTGTTCAATGATGCCCTTTTGTTAATCCTGTAGCTGTCAAAAAAATTTCGTTTATTCTTTTGTTTATTTTAGAACAATTTAGCAACAAATCATTGCAACTGCCCTAAAACATTCCAAACAATAATTTTGGTTAATAGAATGTATCAAATAAGTTTAGAAATGAATGCAAAAATTGAAAAGATGAAAATAAAAAATTGATAAATATCTGTTGAAATCTGAGAAAATAGCGAGAAAGCAGTAATGTTTAAGGAAAAAGTTACTTGCAATGTTGAATCGAGTTCATCTATAAAAATATGATTCTTGCATGTTGCATAGTTAGCTCCGATTAAAAGCTTCTTGATTGGATAAACTCTACAAAAATTAGAAAATAAAGTTCTAGACAACTTGCACACTGCCAAAATGGAACACAATTTATTCATTGTAGTTTATTTATTCAAATTTTCAATTTGTATTCGAATTTCGAACGTTTCTATCTCCTCAAAATTTGTCTAAACTAAGATTATATGCTGGATCTGACCGGTTGGTCATTTACTCGTTATCTTCATTTCAGGTTTTCAACAATGCTGCAATCAAGAAAATGAAAAAAAGGTGTTTGTAACGAATGGCATTTTTAACGGATAATTATGTGGTTAGAAACATGAAATTGCTTGAAAATTTCACTTGTCAATACCACTTTTTTTGATTGATTGTCTTCCCACTGAATATGCAATTATTAGTATCCCTTGTCCACTTCGCTGTCTCAAAAAGATCTGCATCTCTTGTGACAGATTAATTTGTTGCAAAGAGCCGAATACCTCCAGTTATTCTTTCAAGGTTATCAGTTATCATCTCATTCCTCTGAATTTTAAATTATTTACTAGGATTATAAAAGCGTGTAGTATTACCGCTGCTATAACCTACATAATAACAATTTAGCAAACTGTTCAAAAGAAACTCAATTTCACCTCACCTTTACTCATGATTACGAACCTTTTTCCTTCTCCCTGCTAGCATCACTTTTTTCCGACAGTCTGATACACTTCATGCTCCCATTGTATCACAACAAATATTGGGTCATGCAAAATGCTAGTTTAACGAACACTGAAACATACTTTATTCTTTTCTTATCATAAGTGTTTTCCAATTAAATTATAAACCATGAGTTTGAAGGATTTGAAATTCAAAGCTTCAGGTTTATAGAAGCTTTCTATTATTGGAATCGTAAGCAATAAAAAAACATATAATTCATATTTCTTTGTAAAATTGAAAACACATTCACATATGTTATTAAAGGAAACGTTATAAACCACGCCAAAAATATTTATATTTCTCAAAAAGCTGTTAAATTTCATTTCAACTTTAGAAAATCTTATCATTATAAGCAACTATAATAATCAAAATGCTCCCATTGTTGAATTCAGGTCAATACGGACGACTTGTTGTTACACTTCTTTATTTAGAAATTCTTCTGTGGCTACTTTAAATGAAAATAAAAATGATAAATTTCTGTATGTCGCAACAAAAAAGTTGCTGCTACCATTATCTTTAATTTTTCTTCAGATATTTTGATGGAAAGCTTTGCATTGATGCAGTCGAATATTTTAGCGAAGGTTTATTAATAGATAGAGATTTTTATTCTTCTTCAACGATACAAGATAATTATCAGAAATTATCGATAGCAGTGTAGATCCACTTCATATTGATTCGAGAGAATGTAATTTGAAATTGTTTTCCAGCAATTTAAGTAAACAAAAAAGATTTTACATCAATACTGTAATAAATAATTAAATTGGCAATATTCAAAATAAACAATTTTCATGATATAAATTTTTACAAAAATGCCTTAATGATTTGAAAATTTTTAAATTAGCTGATAATCACTTCATTTGTTCCTTTAATAAAGCTGTGATATTCTTCAATACGAAACTATCACAGATTAAACTCATCCGAATTCGGTATATGCTATAGATGTGTATCTATGCATTAAATGTACCACGTTGTTTATCAATATTTAGTATATTAAGAATATTTCGCAAAACTTTCAATTACCATTGTGCAAGAATTTCTGAGAAAATTGGAAAACGATGGCGAGCTACAAACGATGGAAAAATTAGAAAGGGAATGGAAGGATTTCTCGGTATAATTTTCCGCGAATCATACCTAAGGTTCCGGAAAATTATTCTATTCCATCTTTACATTTCAATTTAGAATAAAAAATAAAACAGAAAAATTCTTTAAAATAACAAAATAACTACTGAATAATTATTGCTCAGTTTGCAGAAAAATTTACAGTCACATGAAAGTAACGAATTAATAACAGAAAAAATGAATAGAGAGTGTGAAGAAAACTTAGGTTCTTATAGAAATTTTTTGAGTGATTTGGTTGATTTGGTAAATCCAATTTGATACAAAAGTTGCAACGGTATCCAGCAGAAACTTCTCTATTTATTTTAAAATGATATAGATTCATAAAATTCTTGTGCAACTTTAAACATATCATTATTACATTCCCTTTTTGTATATCAGCATTTTTCTCTTAAAATTATTGTTAAAGATTTAAATTCTAAATAATTACAGAGTTTTTTTAGAAGAAACTTACTAACCCAAAGACAATCACCAACTCTCTGTTGTCCTCCATCTTCAGTTGACATCAAAATATTGTGATATTTTTCATCACTTCAATCCTTCCGAACTTATTTGGAGGAATGTTTGAAAGAACTAAGCCAAGTCTTATCTAATTAATCAACCTCAATGATTTCTCATGCTTTATTTACCACAATGCAGAAACGTTATTATTAAACAAAATTTCCCTTTTTTCTTTCCACTTATTGTCATGCAAATACTGGAAGGGAAGGAGGATTTCCCACAAATTTAACGTCAAAATTGGATCACTTGAATAGAGGATTTGGCTTTTCATATACACAGTGCTAAGTTAGATTATAAGATAGCAGATGATATTAGACCCGCTTCCTCCTATAATTATGAACTTCTATAATAAAGTACACCATCGGGACATCACCATTGTTGAAAAAACGATCGTATAACACGAAATATTTAATAGAGGAATATTATGGAAAAGATTTATGACGGCATTTTAAAAGCCTTACCTATCGTCGTCATTAAATGTATTTTGTGAAAATTAAATGTATTTTAAAATGAAAAATCGGACAAGATTTATTTCATCAACATTAGTACATTTTTTTTGTTGGCAACACATAATATTACTTATTACTAATTAAAGCATAAGTAACCTACATGAATGCAATATTAAAAAGGTAAAAAAGAAACAGAAAAAGAGGAAAGTAGCAACAGTTAACACATATATCAACAAGCAACATTATCATGAAAAGGAAAAAAAAGTAATAGTGGGATAGGAGGTATTTGTAAAGCTTACGGAACAGAATGGATATGAATCACTTTTCCTGAACAAAAAGAAAGAAAAACGGAAACACTTTAACGTGGATATATATATATATATTGTTAACAAACAATATTAAACACCGACTTTTTTCCTCTTTCTTAAACGACTCATTTCGATAATCTAAAAAAAGCAATGAAATGTGTCACAAATATCAGCATAACTTTTCAACAACGACAATCAGAAACCCGATCATTATCCAGTTTCCTTCACATACAACACATAAAGTAACCGGAGAATTAAAACGTAAACAACTTCTGATTCAATCATTCATTGTTTTTCGATAAAATTGTTTACGTTAAAATTTTCGAATATTTTTTAATTGAAATCTCGAAAAGAATGGAAAGAAAACTAAATCAAAGAAACCAATCATATGCCAGCCATATGTCGCTGCATACGAAGACAAATTTAAGAAGCTCGATAGTGCAACAAAAAGCACGTTTCATACATAGTGCCATTTAATAATTCCAGAATATGTGATAGAAAAACAGGGCTAAAAGCAATTTGAATGTAAGTACGACTTTAATCTAATTTTAATTTTGAAAATATCCCATAAATTACTTCCTAATCTATGGAATCTACGCTAATATATGAAGCTAACTTATATAGTATTTGTCATTTACCTTTCAAAAGTGAATCATTATTTACTAATGATAATTATGATAATACTAACCCTTTCTAATTCTTAAAAATCAACTTAAGTATTTACAGTATACACTTCTTTGATTTATAAGAATATACACATGAACGTGCAAAACACTTTGACACAAGTCCACGAAAATATACATAAGCTTTGACATAAGCGCAATTGTTACCTATTAAAACAAAATTTAAATTAATGACGAAAGCAGAGAAGCGTGATGTAAATGTAGAAGCAGAAAAATGTAAATAAGGAACAAAAGTTCAAATTGACTTTACAATTATAACAATGCACAAAATATGACTGAATTAGTACTTTGTTTAGGGAACTCTGAAATTTCACATATTTTCGGTAACTTTCAAATAAATTTAACAAAATCATATGCATTTGCACTCATCTAATTCATCAACAATATAAACCAATGTGATTTAATGTGTTCGCCTTGTCTTATAAAGATGTTTAATACATAAAATTTCTTTTTTACTGTACCCATCGTGTATGGTGCATATTGGATAACAGAGTACTAAAAATAATCTGTGAATCATCATAACTATCGTTAGCTCAGAATAAAAAAAAGGGGTAAATCCGAGTAATTTTGAAAATATTCGCCAAGAAACTTTTAAACTGAAAAACTAAAATAAAACATCTTTTAATTCACATTTCCTCTTCCTCATCTTCATCTTCTTCCATAACATGCTTAATTTCAGCTTCTCCAGTGATATCAGAATGATTATCTGGCTCATTTTTTACTACAATAGCACCACTTCCTAAAACATCTTCGTTTTCCAGCAGTGGTAGCCCAGTGATTGACGACTGTCCTGATGATGCACCAGCAAATCTTTCCACCTGCAAGACATACGTTATTACCTCTGTATCTCCATTATCGAGTAACGAATGACATAATAATAGTGATGTTTTAGAGAGTTAAGATCTAACTTTGAATTCATGTTATCTTATTACGAATTAAAATCGGAAAATACCTGTACAAATTCCTATTTTAAACAAAATTTTGTAACAGATAATTGAAATAAGCTATATCAATGATATATCAATGATGGAAAAAGCACCTCATCATGTCCATTTTCTTCAACAATAGCGTCATCGCCACTTGTATCACTGTCCACGGATTGATCATCACTTTCCATTACAAAACGTTCCTGCGCATGATCCGCTTCACATAACATGGTACCATCTACACCATAATCACCTCCTTCTGTGTACGACTGTGCATCCTGTTCTGCCTCCAAACCTGAAGGATGTCTGTGACTTAAAGGATTTTTGTTTGGAAAATCTGAAAACTGGAACTTCTACAGAAATTCTAAAAGTCCCTCTGTAGATCAATCTGTATTTGAAAATAAAATTAAGATAAAAAATGAGATTAATTATCATCCACCTTCTTCTTGTCGTTCATCATCCGAATCTCCGTCACCAACTTCTCGGCCAAAACCTCTTTCGAGAGTTGCATCAACGCTTTCCGGCTGATCATCATCTGTGGATCCGAGAACATCGAAAAACCGCCCCGACGATAAACTTTGCTTTCTGGAAAAAATAAAAAATCTGGCAACTAAATCGTGATCAACACCATGACGCAGTGGCGCATTGAAATGACCAAGAGATGTCTGCGATTGCGCAATCTAAGACATCTCTTGATACTTAGACATTTCTTGGTCGTTTCAATGCGCCAATGCGTTAAGGGCGCTATGTTTTCTTTTAAGTATCAAAATTTACTGAAACAAAAGCGATAGCCTCGTACAATTTTTCAATATCAGCAGCGGTAGGTATTGGCGCATCGATAAAATATGCTGGATAACATTCACGGATGATTTCTTTAATTTCAACGCGATATTTCCAGCGTTCATCAATTGGATGTTCCTGACTGCTGTGCACGTCACGAATATGTTTCACCACCAAATCACGTGATTGGTTTCCCTGTAATATATAAATTTCAAGGTTTCAAATATTCGACCTGTCGAAATTGTCTTGACCTGAACCAGCGTGATGCAAGAAAAAAAAAATTTTTGAAAATGGAAATTCCAAACCAAGTAAAAAAACCTACGATGTCACATTGTGGACAAAGAAACAGCTGCACATCCAGATGTTTGTATGCGTGATCACTTAACCTTGATGTTGTTAGCAAACCACACTTCTGCAACTACTTATTTTAAGTTTTTTAATAAGAAGTTTATATTTGATCTCTAGAAATTTTAAATTTGAATTTCTTGCAGTGGTATATAACCTGGCAATGTGCAGCTTCGTTAAAGCGCTTTTTGAAATACTGCGCACCACCAAGTCGCATACTGATTTCACGTAACTTCGCCATTTCTTTACGTTTCAACTTTGACGGAGGTTTGCGCACTCCGAAACGACGATTTCTGGCTTTTCTCATACGATCACGATATGATGACGAAGATGACGTCGAAGCAAATGATCGCGACACCGCCATAATAGCTGATGTTTCAGAATGATGTGATGCAAACTGCGACGAATCGCTAATATGCATTGCTGACGACGCTTTTGTGTCATATTCGTCCTAGAAAGGTTGAAATGTATGCTAAATTAATAGCAAATATTATAAAATAGATATAACTGTTACTTCGATGAACTGAAAAACTCAAGACATTATTTCTCTTCGGAATCTACCATGAAGAATGTAGGTTTCCGAATTTTCAGAAATTAGATTTACAGCTTTGTATTTTCAAATTCAAACTTGAACTCAAAAGTAGAAATTTAACTCTTGAAACCAGTTCGCAAGTTCTGTACTTACTGCATCGTATGCTGCTGAATTCATAATTTCTTCCGAAATCGTAGTTGTAGGAGTAGTATTAGCATTCATCATAGTTTCCGCAATCATTCCTTCATCGTTAGCTGCTTGATCTGGTAACTAAAATATCACATTGAGTAAACACTATAAAGATATAAAGGTATAAAAAAGTGAACAATATAAAGGTAGAAAGTTCCATAGCGTAGAAATTAAAACTTTTCGAAATCTGGACATAGTTCATTTTCACATCACCTAGTAAAAAGTATCCCTGTCCATACCGGTAAACCGATAAACCGGCAAAATTATTAACCTTGATAACAATCCGATTGGAGATTGTAAAAAAATGTGTTATGCGCAAATTATCCCATCAATGGGATTTCTTCATTTTTTTGGAAAATTAATCCTTTAAAACTGATCATCTTTTCAAGCATTTCTATGAGTAATGTAATGTCTTTTGAAGAAAAATCGTGTAACATGAAATAGATAAGTCCACTATTAGTTTATCTCTGTTTACCGATCTGATATGCAATTTATGGGGACTGACCACTAATTGGGATATATTAATTAAAGCGTTGAGAAAATTTACTTTGCACTGTATACGGCTATCATGCGATGATGTTGGCTGAGAACCGAAACACTGTTCAGTCATTGCCTTTACTTCATCTGAATATTCCTGAAATAATTTCATCGGTGCAATTTACTTCAAAAATATCTAAAGAACGAGACACATTAGCATACACGCACATATACATCAAATATAGATAACAGGAAACCTCAACATGATCTTCGCAACAGTCCTCTGTACCGTGTTCCCTTCTTCCGTGACTTAGAACAGCCTGTTTTCGATCATGACCAAAATCACAAAATTTACATATATAACGATTGATACCAAGATCTTTGGACATATGCCACAGAACATGGAAACCGCGTATCTGAAAAAGGAAAGCTTTCAGGACAAAAACTGACAAAAATTTAATAAAATAAACCTGGACAAAACTCAATGTTGCGAAACTTCACTTCATCTGAAGATTGCTCTCGGTTAAGCAGAGTCAAAAAATAGACATGCTGCCGCAAAGTTCAAGCAAATCGAGGTGGAAACTACCACGTTTTGGTGATTAATTTATCTCCTATATCCTTATTCTACATTAGATGGTACAAATTGAAGTTGAGAAGTTTATCAGTTAAATTAGCTAGAAAGAATTTTAATTATGACTACATTCAAACAATCAATGCACTGTTAAAAACTTTACAACAACATTACCTTATTATGTAATAATTTATGACATTTTTGACAATGTAATTGTTGGTCATCAGTTTGCTCTATCGACGATATTTCTCGTGATGTTGATGGAACAGATGGGAGATGATGCTGCTGCTGTTGTGATTGTTGTGATTGCTCTGCAGTACCGCATCGATTTGTTTCTTGTATTGCAGCCATTCTTTGGGCATTCAGTGCAGCGGTTGCTACTGCAACTCGAGCTGTAGCAACAGCACGAGCTGCTGCAACAGCTAGCGCCTAAATTTAATAGATTTCCAAATTTACTCCAACATTTTCTGATTTTATTCACCAGAGAAAATGAAAATAATCCACACTTATCATTTTACTATTCCCTACAAAAAAGTGAGATTTACTCTTTCGGCCGCTCTTTTCTTCCGCCTTGAATTTCTGGGATTCCGAGCTTGCGCTGCCATCATCTGATCGTAAATCATTTGTGCGCGTGCAGCTGTGGGACCAGGCTTATTACCCGTTGTTCCCAAAAGATCCAGTGATACTTCCTACAATGTAAGAAAAAAGCCACATTTGATATAAATTACTGAAATAAATGAGGGTGATTTTATAACTCTACATATCGAAATAATGATGAAAATATTGTACTCGCAAAAATCTACCTGGGAAATTTTGAATAACTCAGCTGTTCGGTCTTCAATTAACATTGGATTTATTGCACCATGTACTTTCGACTGATGATTTTCCATCTGGTCTTTTCTGTAGTGCTGCACTTGACAAGCAGGATATTTGCAACGGAAACGGAAAAGCTAAATTTCAATACTGATTAATGCATAACTGATGTAAAAAAATTCCCATAATGACTAACCTTGGTAAAGATCACATGTGTCAATACGAACAATGGGAAAAAACATTTTGATCAGTTTGTTTTATCCACTGTCAACATTTTTAATTACATTTTGCGTTTCTAACCTGGCGATCCTTTGCCATGTGATAAAAAATATGCATTTGTCGTGCACCAGCGGTAATAAGCTGTTTACACTTACATATTCCCATCATACGTCTTTTTGCCAAGCTTAAAATTGCTACACTTCAGATTAGAGATGAAAAATATTTTTGAATTTGTACTTTCAGAAATTAATAAACTAGATGGTATGAGTGGTTCAATGATTTGTAAAGAAAATATTTCCGAGTATAAAGAAATGTGAGGAATCGACCAATGTAAATAAACCTGCTCTTCGTAGCTTTAGGTCGCTCATTTCTTGTGATATAGTCCGTGGCATTACTATTTTCATGAACATTACTACTGCCACCACGATTACGTCGTTTCCACGGAATAGCTATATCACCGGCACTAAATATTTCGGCAACATTTCCCAAAATATCCGTCGCATCTTGGCCGCTATCAACCACTGTCGCTGCTAGCAGTGCTTCATCGGATTGATCTGTTGCTGCAAAATATAGCAAACATGATTCCTAATGAAAAGGATAGTATTCGTTGTGACAGATGTCGGATATAAAATAGAAGGTTCTACTTTCAGAAAGAGGAGAATTTTCGAAAAAAAAAATTGATGAAATCATATACATTTACCTAAGATTAGCTAAGGTCAAAATGCTGAAGCGTTTTAAATAATGCTAACAAACTGATATGTTCGGATAAACACTTCCTATTTTTTACGTCAACAGAAAAATAACCAGCAATATAATAAATTTAATGATAACTGTCCTATGCACATTATTAATAGATCGATAGATGATGTATAACAATGTCTAACACATATGCCCTACTGTCATATTATAAATAAACATTTTATGAATGTCAATCAGTGCGCAACTGATACTTGCATTAAATAACATGAAAACTGCAAATAAGATATGACAGAATGTATAGAAGAAAAAGGGATTTACTTGATTCTTCCATCGCAATGTCAAATGCACTTTTGACATCACGTACTCCGCTTGCAATACTACTACTGAATTCATCATCCATTTCTCCTCCTACTCCAATTCCACCGTCTTCGGTACCAGAACCTTCCACACCTACTTCTTGTTCATCGACATTTTCATTGGTTGCAACACGTATCGCCGATAACACTGCGTCGGTGTTTGTATTCCAAGACATGGTATTATCACTAATGGAAATAACTTATTGAGAATGTATAGAAGCTTCGAAAATATTGTATTTATTAGTTAATGTTAGATGCTCTATCTGCAGATCAATCAGTTTATAGTTGGAGAGTTCAATTTGAAGTATAAAATGAAAATGATCGAAATAATTGATAATTATGAAATAATTACCTTGCAGGTCGTTTCTTTGAAATAGCAGTAGCTGTCGCTCCAACAGTTGCAGTTGGCGTAAGCTCGGATCTTTGTAGTTGCTGATTCACTGATATATGGTCTCGGCCATTTGTCAATGTATTGATATTACGCACAACACTTTCAACACCGACTTCACATGTAGGAGATAAACTTGCCGTAGATCGTCTATCCTAAAATTTTTCTATTGAACACAGAAAATCTAGAACTTTTCCTAAAAGTTCCAGAATTTTCCTGAATATTCTCTTATCTTAATGATGCTAAAAAAGTGCATGCACGATTGTAATTATCATTTCCAAGTCCTCGTGCTTTCAACCGAAAACTTAAACACCATAATTTATAATATATTTATACAACACATTAAATAACTTCACATTATTTTCTGATATTTTTTTAGCTATACAAAGGAATTAACCGAATCATTTGTATGAGTTATGAGCCTTTCTCTCATGTTATTCACCGGGAATGTGGCGGCATGGAAATGCGGTGGTGGCAATGTTGCTGTTGTTGCTCCAGTCGGTGACGACTGAGAATTGCTGACTAGTGGTGGTGGCTGCGCACGACGTGCATTCATCAAGCAACGGTCCATCATTAATTGAAGCAACCGTTTCGCAGTCGGATTGTCATGATACGCGTATATATACTGTAACAAAACAACATACTGCTATTCTCATTAAATATGAAAATCGACTGAAAAAGCGACCAAAAGACACAGATTAGGGAGTAAGAAATGTCAATGAATATTGATTTCCCATATCTATTCAGTTTTAATTCAAAGTGATTAAAGCCTTTATCAGTACCTCCAATTCTCCGACATCAACAGTTTCATAAAATGAAGATTCCGGTCACCATTTTCTTAAATTTATCAATAAATTTTCTTAAATTTACCATGAACTGGAGCTGAATATGCGAAGATAACGAAAACACTTTCATGGTTAGCAACCTTTAGAAGTGAAACAGGCTTAACTGAACTGGTGAAAAGGGAAAAAGGAACTATTCATCATAATCGATCGATATTTGAATGTTGAATTGTTGATGAAGTGCTCAGGGCTTCCGCTTATTAGTCACGAATAATCTGATACTTTTCAGTTACTCGAAACTAATGATTATTGGATGATTCAAAAATATTTCATACTCACAATTTCTTTGGAGCAATTTCGCGAAAACCGCTCCTAAATCACTTAATTTAACCTATCTATTAGTTATGTGGAATACTGATTATTTCAAATGTAAATAATAAAACAGTCCCTACTTTATGTTCATAATTTTTTCGATGTGTTGAGTGAATATGTTCGCGTAATTGAAAATCGGTCGATCTTTCCGCATAACATTCAGTGCATTGAAAGGGACTCCAGTGTAAATGTTCAACTTTAATATGGACCTGGAAATTTTCAAAACTTCGACGATATCTTTTTTCCTTCTATTTGAATAGAATTATAAGAATTTTCGCTATTTTTTTATCCATTCGAACACAATTTTTAACATTGTTCATCCTCATTTAATGTTCAGTTTGTTGCATTTTTTTCTAAATTTCCAATATCTCCGCTATAATTTGTTGATCCGCTAAATCACCTCCATTTCTTCACTGCTCATTTTGCAGATGCCACATTCGGGACAACGTAAATACACTGGTGGTAGTGGCGGTAAATTGAGCAAATTTGGTAGATACATTGTTGATGCTCCTGATCCTGGTCCGTAACCGTATGTATTTCCACCTAAAATTATTCGAATATTATAAAGAAATTCCAATACTAAACAAGAATATAAAAATTATAGATACACAAATTTTTCGCTGATTAGTAATAGTCTTTTCCGACTAAGTTTCTTCGTTTTACAGTTTCATAACAAATTAAATGCCTTCCAATTGGTTTATTTCTTAGTAAGATTTCTCTCATTTTTAAGAAAACTATATCTTTATTCTAATTTATTTTGATTTAAATCTCCCTCTCTTTCAGAAATACTTTTTTGATGACTCCTTGCAAATAAAATTTACATATTTGTTAAAAAATTCTTTTGATCTTCAAAGCTAATCAATTTAAAAAAGAATTTTACTTATTGGGGACGGAAAATTGTCGGCTCCCGAAACATTTGGCCATAAATCCATTACATCATTATTAACTTGCTAGAATTTTTGGCAAAATTCAATTTCAACAAGCAAATTAAAAAATATATATATAATTAGAAATATACATAAAAAGAAAATAACATGCTGATTTGTGATCTTCTGTAATAAATTTTTCGTCTTTTTGAATTATTTCACCAAATGAATAGAAAATCCGCCGCTATGCTATATAAGCTTGCTTCTTTTAAATTTATAAGTTCCAAAATGTTAACTAACGTATATAACACCGTAAAATAATCTCGCAAACAACTTACTGGCGTTTGAAAAGCATGAGATGGAAAATTTCGACCTATATACTGTTGCATTTCTTCTCGTGATCGTTGGTCTGCTCGTCCTGATCCATTTGATACACTTCCAGCTGAAAAAATAAAACAGTATGGAAATCTACAGAAAAAGCTTTTCATTTTTCGAATAATCATCTAGCTATAATGTGATAATAGCAAAAGCTAAAGACAGACAGCAGGCATCTCAATTTTTCATTGAAAAAAAGGAACAATTCTCTCTGGTACTGCAACTTCCAAATTGGCCCAATTATGCCACTAGCGAACATTAATATTGAAGTTTTCGATGAATTTCCAGAAGAATTTACTTTCTATCTTAATGTTATTCAAGATTGTTTATATTGAAAAATATCCACATTAGTTGGATATTTTAATGATTACTGATAAGTCCAAATATCAAAAACACTGTTGGTATATAAAAAACACCAACGATTACTTGTAAAACAGACAAATACTATAATCAAATTTGGTCAAGAAATATTTTATGATTCGAAATCACAACACTGCAATTATTTCAAAAGAAAGAAAGAAAAGCCATATTTTGAAATAGTCATCCTATGTCGCTAGCCTTATCAGCGCCATCACTAAATCATAATACATAGAAGAGAATCAAGGATCTATTTTTAATAACCTTGAGTACGACAATAGACTACCAATGATCTTGTACATTATTGTTTCGTGCAATTCATTACAACCAATAATCCAGGATCAATATCTAGTAATGCTTAAATATTCTCGGCTTCAGTCAAAAATTAATCAGTTGAAAAAAATATATATCAAAGGTAATTAATTACCTTGGGTAGAAAGCATTAAACGGTGCAAAATATTATCCCGAATATTTGATGGTAAAGATGAAGTACCACCACGTTGCGCTGGCGCCGGTGCTCCACTACGAATCATTCTTCTGTCCTAATTTTCTCACCACCAATCGGGTCCTAAATAGCCAACTGATTCACCAAACTATCAATTAGAAGCAAAAAACAAAAGAAAATTATAAATGAACTTTTCCAACTTTTAATTATTAACCACAGTAAATATCACGCTAAATTACACTTACTAATTAAAAAATGTCAAAAGAAAATAAGGCTCCTCTGACGATCATGACCTAACAAAATTTGCCTATTTTATCACTAATTAATAATAACAATATCATCAGCTACTGATAAAATATTGCTAGTATAACTTAGGTGAACGGATTTAACATGTTTTCTACCTGGTCAGTGAACTACTGCAGTAGATGGCGATAAATAAGATGATTGGAATGCTGAAGTATACGAAGGAAAAAAGTCAACCGTAATGCGTCTCATTATAAAGATAAACCAGTAATGATATTAGGGGAGAAATTCTGCTTGATTAACTCTACTTTGGATTTCAGTATAATGAGATACTAAAATTATGGCTCGAGACATCAGGCGGAAAATTCTCCCCTCGTTTTACGTTTTTTTCTTTTTCCTTGAATCTCTTTTCATCTTTTGTTCTTCCACCATTTCTTGCTTAACTCATTTCATCTTCTATCTCTTAAACTTCGTGAGGTATTTCTTTAAAAAGTCATAAATTAAATCGTCCTGTTGAGATTCTATTATCAACAATTCATGCGGATTGTGTAACTGTCCATCCAATAGTGATATTTCAGTAGTTGCGACTAAAGGCTTTCAGCTGATGAAATAGAGCACTATCAATGGTAAATTTGACTACCAGCAGAGCTTCCCACATTGAGAAAGTCTGCTCTGAGAAGCAAATTAAAGTGTCAAAATGAATGGAATAAGAGAAATATATTCGATTTCCAAAAAATATTATTCGGATTATGATTCATCAGGTAGAAGACAGGGTAAACTCGTTTTCCTATAAACTAAACTTTTCTATCTCAGGACTTCTTTTAGAAATAGGATCTGTTAGCACGAATTGCCAAAAGATTTCATAGAAATAGAATCTGTTAGCATGAATTATCGAAAGGTCAGTAAAACTGAGCAGAATTCTTGGCCATTCGATGTCAAATAATCCGCAGAACCCAGTAACTTCTGTCCAGACAAAGATGCCGAGCAGTTTATGCTAGTACAACCAAGCAATATTACTATAAGGCGGATAGAAACAAGAAGAGGCAAAGAGCGGGACAATGCGAATCTGCCGTTTCAATTTTCCTTAACGCCAACTGGAAAGAATGAAATACAGAGACGCTTCACTGTAATAAGACATTTTGTGACATAGAAGTGGAAGGATTAAAAGAAGAAAGAATTAAATGAAGGTGTAGAAATGGAAGAATGATTGGGAAGGATGGAATGGGTAAGAACTCCGATCGGATTACGGCCAAGGGAGTAAAGATTCGGGGAAAATGGAGTCGGAAGTTGAAAAAGAAGCAAATCAAACATTAAAGTTCGATGAAGAGAAAGGAGAGTAAAATGATGGTGAGAAGGTTCGTTGAAATGAAATGGATGATTGTGAAGGCTAAGAATTGCAGTGGAGGAACGTCACAGTTGCTCACATTAACACACATAAAGAATTGCGAAAAAGATGGTGGAAGCAATTAAATTCAGATAGAAGCTGTCGCTTTGTAATGACAATGCTTCTGAGGAAGGTCAACTGATAACAAGGATAACCGATATTAGCGATTGATTGGTTAAACAGAGCAATGAAAATGCTGTATTTTACGATAAGAAAAAAGGAACGTAGAATATCATGCAGTCAGTCAGACATGCGAATTCCGAAACGGAAGGAAGAAAAGAGTTATAGTTGTAGTTGGAAGGGATGCGAATCATGGTTTGAATCGAAGGATGGCGCAGCGAGGAGCATTAAAGTGAGGGAAGCGCTGAAAGGAGAATGTCAGATGGGAATGAATAATAACAGAAACTGAAGGTTATAGAAACCGTGAAACAACAGATAACTGCAGTCTTAGAGGTATGAAGCAAGTGTGACTCAACGCAAACAAAGCCAAATGTTTCGGAATAATCAACAACAACAATTTTGCTCTTGGAAATCTCTTCTTTAAGGTGCACACAAAGTGCATAAAGCACATCCAGTCGTAAACAGAAATCATCAAATATTGGGAAAGATTTTGTAGAGCAAAATAATAGGATCAACGTACTGAAAGCGGAATTTCAAACAGTCCATATTTTAAATTCGATAATTATTGATTTTTTGACAATAAATGAAACAAAGAAGAAAATTTAAACATTAAAACTAAGTGAAATATATATTGAAATTATATTGAAATAAATTTTAGCTATGACGGAAAACTTTTTAAATGTCATCTAATAATTTTGACGTTGTTAACACCATTTAATATTATAAATTTAATTATAATTTCGCTAAAATAAACACAAATGACATAAAGGTAAGTAAATTAAATATTGCAACGAAGTTTCAAAAAGGAACACTGAGAAAGAATTAGTGAAAATATTCATAATCGGATAGAAGTAAGAGGAAGGAACAGAAATGGAAGATTGGAATCAAAAGGAGGAAGAAAGAACGATATGAAAAAAGGTACTATCTAAAGGAAGGAGATTGGAGCCATTTAAAAAATATATACATTCCTTCAAGTAATCAAGTTAACCGAACCCAATCCTACAAGAAGGGCTAACAAAAGAAGAGGAAGAGGAGAAGGAGGAAAAAGCAGAATAGGAAAAAGGAACAGTGAGATAGTATTAATAATATAACAGCTGACATCACTGGACTTTCAGGAGAGCGATAAGATGACTTCTTTCCCTCCTTTTGCAAAATTCCAGCAAACAGAGGGAGCCAGCGTAAGCCAACTCAGTCAGTCAGCCAACCAGCGGAGCCTTCCTTTTCCCCCTTTGCACAATTCTTCGACGAAGTGAAATACTTCTTCGTCTTCATCATCATCTGGAGTTCTACGAGTGATGATGACAACAGGAAAAATAGAACACTTTAAATTCAACATCCTTCACTACTTCTACTTCCACTACATACTACCACTACAAAAACCTTCACCATTCCGTTACACAATTATTAAAATGGGGAAGACCGAGATTCAGAAATTTTCATTATCTCGCTCGAAATGTAACAAAGTCTCTCTTTGTATCAGTATATCACGACTAACACAATTGAAACCGATAATGAAATAGACGTTTTATTCTTATGAATGAAGCTAGCAGATTGCCGTGGATGTGTTGTGTATGAGTGGCAAGGAGGGATGAAGAATAGAAGTATTTCTGGTAAGATTAGCAAATAATATTTTCAACGACCTAAGTGATTTGAATCATTTTTTTGAGCGAAGTTATTCAATTTGATTTCATTTCGAAGAAACGTTTACTTTCTTCCTTTATAGTCCTTTCTTTTGTTATCATTCTTCACAGAATGATCGGCTAATCAAGCAGGTGTTTTTGGACAGCTTATACTGATACTATTTCGAGAGGGAGTGAGAAATAGTAGGCAAAAAGGGAAGGTTTTGTTGTAAATATAAAAATTAACGTGTGGAACATTCTCATAGCGAAATAATAAAATTATACCTTTTTCTTTTTTTTTTGAGTTTTATAGTTCGATTCTGAAACAGTCGATGTAATTTGCCCATTTAAACAGAAATCAATTCGAAATCTTGCTATCAGTGATTAACTATTACAATTTTATATTACAATTAATTCATTATAGTAAAATTTAACACATTATAGAGATATTTTCCCTAAGAAAATACACCATTCATTTCAGGAAATTTCAGAGCTTAAGAAATTCCAAATTAAATTAATGAATTATTACTTCAAGTGCAGTTGACAGGTTTTGCAAAAATCTAGATTATCGCGAAACTATTGCAGTGATCGTAGTATTCAGCCAAGAAGTAACTAGTTTTTTATTTTTCAGTCAAAACGAAGAAACTTAAAAGCGAAGATAAAGCATGGAGTAGTATTATCGAACAGATATAATAGAGAAAAATGAAGTTTAAAATTCGAGAACTTCAGCAAAACAACACGGATATGCTGCTGTTCTTAGAGTGATGAATCTCAATTGCAGTTGGGAATGCAAAGAACATTGCATAGAAAGAAAAGGATTCTTATGCAGGATTTGCAAATTTCATTTTTCTGCAAGTGCTTCATCTATGATACTAATGTTAGAGCCAAAATTTCGACTATAAGTGGCAGAAGCATGAAGCATTTATGAAGATTTTTTGCTTCTTTACATTTTGCTTTCTGAACTTGATAATTTCATCAGACAGAAGGAGAAAGTTTCTGAATTGTCAAACAGAGCATCGATGAAAGCAGTTTCTTCGTGTTCATGACTCGTGAATGTTAGGAACAGATAACGAAAGAAGAAACAAAGGAGATGGAAGTTTCGAGATGAGATGTATGAAATGGAATTGAGTGCTGTTGCTATTGCTTGCTGTTGCTGTTGAAGTAGAACATAGGAAGGATGTAAGATAGGGTGGCTAGATGGATGGATTGATGGATAGATGGATGGATAGATGCTGAGAGGGTAGTGTTACTTGGGAGTGGAAGTAGATGGGGAGTGAGAAGACTACTGATGCTGGAAAGACCCAACGGAGCGCGAACAAAAAGCGCCGCACCGTCCCATAAACTATCACCACATCTAATCTTTTACTTCCTCCATCACAGCACCCGAGATTAGAAGGAAGAATGATGAAAAAAGAGTAGAAAGCAAAGCTTGCAACATACTGCAATTATACAGGAGAGTCTCGTCTCGCAGTAGTAGAATGGGGTTGATGATGACAACGACGACGACAATGACGATAAGGACAGGACTATCCATCGAAGAGAGAGGACCTTCATTCTTCGCCTTTCCTCCCTCTTTTCCTCACCATCATTACAACCTAGCACCGCAACCCAAGCATTCATCCAACATAATAATGGTGCTCTTCTATCCATCCACCCCTTCTCCTACTTCATGTCCCAGCAAATACTTCTACGATGGCTGTTAATTCTACCTACTACTGCTACTCAAGGCATAGCACATGAAGGAAACATAGAAGGGGAATTTACGAGTGCAAAAATGGTGACAAATTTACCCACCTATCTTCTAACATTGTCAATAAAAATACAAAATGCAAAAAAAGAAAAAAAGAATGATAGGAAGAAGTCTATGAATGAGGAAGTTGTATTTATTGTCGCATATACATATATCCATCCTTATGTCCAATTGTTAACTTTGTTATTCGTGTATCAAATAAGCAAAAGGAAAAATACATGAACACCATAAGTATCATATTTGATGTAAACGAAACATATTTACTGCAACGTATAATGAAATCTATCTACTAGATATTTGTAATATAATTATGTAAATTTAAATGAATAATGAAAGTTATTGGTTTAAACATGTACTGGATATGTTTAGATATGCAAAATAAATGTAAATTCAGATGAAAGGAAAACAAAAAAGGGCCACTTACGTAGTCAAATGTCAATTATCGGGTAAAAATTGTAGTGTGTAAATCGCTGAAATATATAAATAGATATCGGTTAAATATTAAGTAATTGAATATTTTGTGAACTAGTGCTAAATTTATCCTTAAACAATCTACTTCTATCTTATCATCAGTTAAGTAATATACAACATAATTTAATCGATTAGCACAATAGTTAGCATTATTCGCATTTTTCTGTAATACCCAATATATGATTCAATGATTACAAAAGGCTATAAGAAATGAAAGATTATTGATTAAAAAAAAATCCCGATGAAAACGAATAACATTATTTGTTTGCATAGATATATTTTCCTCGGAATTTTTATAAAAACCGTTGTTGTATTGTTATATCATTTATGTTAATAAATAAACTGATCGAAATATTAACAATTGTTAGATGATAAATAGATAGGATGAATTTTTATAATTTATATTGCGAAGAATATTATCACAAAAGAAATACTATCACCGATACTTTAACAACAAACATACTATGCTTCGTCTTCTTATTGCATAAATTGAAAAGGAAGAAGTTAAACAGTTAATTACATGTATCATTTGGAAAAAAGGAAATTATTTTTCCTTTTCGAAATCTAAAAAATGAACTCTTATTTCCTCTTTTTTTGTTTTTCCTTTTTTTTGTAGAAAGCTTTGCAATGATTTCATTCGACAAAAAATAATTCATATATAGCAGCTTTAAACATCAGCGATTGTTTTTGGATGACTTCTGATGGATGTGGAAAATAGCAGCAGAAAGGGAAGGTATTATGTTGGTATGAAATCAATAGTAACACAACCGCCACCACAACATCGATGGCAGCAGTAGCATCAACGAGCACCGTTATTTCGATGCCTTTCGTCTGCCATCTTCATCAATGCAAACTTGTATGATCATCATCATCATCTTCGTCATCATCGTCATCGTCATCACCATTGTTGTCATCAACATTTTGTTACCAACAAACATTACCAACGCCATCGCTATCCCAATCGTCGTCATCATCATCATGGAGCTGACTGACAGAAGATAACAGCGACACAGTTCAATTCTTTCAACGACGATAGATAGATGTATGCAATGGACGGGAGAACAAGCAAAGCTCCTGCCACAATCATGACAACTGTGACACTGTGTGATGGCATCAGATGCCATCACAGGCAATCTTCCCTTTCTCTTTTCTACATAACATACATTTTCTATTATAGAGGGAGTTTGAAGTGTTCTGAGAGCAGAAGATGCCTTCGTTGATTGTTGTTGTTGTTGTTGTTTCGTTTATCGAATACTATTGCATACTGAAGCAGCATAAAATGTAACAAGCGGAAGAATGAAAGTTCAATGATAAAAATGAAAACAATTTTTTTCAGTCACCAAAAAAGTTTTAGATTTGTCGATATTTTCGAAAGACGGAAGGGAAAAAAAGGAATCTGTACCCGCTATTCTTGAACACGAATAAATTTCCGTTCGAAACTTTCCTTCAATTTGATGACAATGTCTGTACGAAATACTTCCCAAGGTTTTATGAATATAGGAAGATTAATTCTCAAGCGTGATTGTCGAGATTTCATTTAACCTCCTTTCTCATCCTTCTTCTCCAACTCTCTCTTCCATTCCTCTCATCATTGCCGAGACATATTTCTCTGACAGGTCATTAGAAGGCAAGTTGTTCGGTAAAATCGAGGATTTTTATATATTACAGGAAAATGAAGAAAGAAGATATTGCTAATATTTCGTTAAATTTCTGAATTCTAATAAATCTAACTGAGTTCGATTTGCACACGACATAAGAAAAGTTTGTTTTCTGAATTCAGTTCGATAAATGTAAAAATTTTAGAGAACTGGCGGTAGAGTAACAAAATGAAATATACTGCAAATTGAAATATTTGTTTCTGAGATGGCTGCAGACTAAACATGCATTGGTTGAAATTAGAAATCATTTCTGATTGATATTTTGTAATTCTACTGAAAATTTCAAATTCACCGTTTAATTATTATGTCAGTGGTTTATTATTGTATGGTATATTATTACGGCTAGAAGTATCCCATTGATAAAGAAAGGAAATTTTCAAAAATCATATAATGCTACCAATTTAATTTTAAGGTATACTTCTCTCGTAAATCTATTAATTTATGATTCAAAGGAAAATTTTTAATAAACTTCAGCGATATAGTTTTTGGTCCTCATATATGGCATAATTTCTTTTTGGAAGTTTCATGAAATTTAAAATTGGGAACATTATCATTTTTTTTCTTCTTATTTCTTCTTTTCTCGCCGTTGTCTTCATGAAACTCGAAAATGACAGCACTATCTTTTGCTTTGTTTTTATGGACTAAAGATAATTGTATTTCTTACAGAAATGACAGCATTCGATAGCCTTTTTAGCTCATAGATTACAAACTTTGTACGAATTAGATATTACTTGATGATAAGATTAGACGTGACTTCTTGAGATTAGGCTTACTTTATATCGATATGTTTGTACAAAGAAGTTGCAGTTTGCGTAAGTTTATATTTATTTTTGGAATAAGAATGGTAAATTTTTAAATGAATAGTGCTAATATATATGAAAATCAAAGTTAACCTGAATTTCATTTGGTCCCAGAAATTTTCAATTGTCATACGCCAAAAAAAATATCAATTATCACATTTGTTAATTAACGAACAGTTGATTAAATATAGTAAGATACCTTGCAATAAAGAGACATCTTCCATTACATTTAAATTCTATTTAAAAAAATATGAAAAAAATTTGTACATTTTAACCAAAATCATAGATCGTGAATTATTTGAAAGAGGCAGAAAGAAGAAATAGTGAAAGACAATTATGATAATAATTTACAATATTAATGAAGAAGAAAACAAATATATCATTTATAGAAAGCAAATGAAAAAGAAGAATTATTTAACAGGAAATAGTTGAATGGAGTTAAAAATGAAAATCGAATAATATTAGAAATTTTAAAATTACTGACACTTATTCAGTGATCAAATAAAGTCTTCAAAAATTTGTGTGCAAGAATCTTTCTTGTTTTTGAAAATAATGCTTATTTCAAATAAGGCAACCGTGACTTCCAACAAAATATAAGGCACAAAAATAGAAAATGAACGGTTTGCTTAATGAGTTTCACCTTTACTCAGTAAAATTTCAATTTATATATATTATTGCTCACAAAATTCGGGTAAGTTTTTAAAAGTTTTTTGTATTTATCTTTTTATTCTTATTAATAAAATTTATATAATATTATAATTTATGGATAGAATGGAAGTTTTTTCCTTTTAATAGAAATCAAATATATTAATAAAAGCATTTGAATATACATAATGTTCATTAATTATACGTAAGAAGAAATTTAGCAATAATAATCACAATTATAAAATATTGATTTTGAATTTAATATCATACAATGATTTATCATGCAATTTGGTTCGTAAATAATACATTTGAAGAAAAATTTTTTAACAAACATAAGATTAAAATTGAAAATTACAAAATGTTTTTTTTTAATAATTATTATTTAATTATAAAATTTTTTCCATCATTTTTTTTAAAAAAGTTGTTCAAAAAAATAATATAGCAAAAAAGAGATCAAAATATATGTTGTCCGATGTGTTTGAGTGACAGCAGATACTAACCATTGGAAACAGTTGACATTACAGCTTCATTTTCTGTTTACACATTCATCCTGTCTCTGTTAAATTAATATTGTATTGATATATATGTATACACATATATATATATAACATCTATGATAGGAATAGTTGCTACAATTCTATAGTTATATCAACTTTACGATCACAACTCCACACCGGTTATGCCTATTTAGCGGCTAGCGCATGCAGTTATTTGCAGAAATAACCGATCTACCGAAGAAATGATGCATACATTACTATTCATATTGTTAGCAAAATGTTAATATTACTCACGAAATATTGTGAAATTGAAAGATTCCGAAGCACTAATAATACATGTAATAATCAATAATACGTGCAATAATCAATAATACATGTAATAATCGAAAATACGTGCAATAATCGATAATACAAGCAATAATCAATAATAATACATTCAAGAAATACGTTAGTATGGAATATTATTTATTGTCTGCACGATAAATTAAAAAGCAATATAATTTTTGCAAAAAATGAAGGAACGAATTAATAAGATTGATCAGAGAGTTTGAGTAGGAAAATAGTAATATTAGAAAAGCGCTAATTAGGAGTATAAAAATTGCTTCTGATTTGTTCAATGGAAACTTCATCGTCATGCCAATTTTTAAATTACAATAATGGTTTTTCTTTCGTTTTTCTTCCGCAGTCTATCTTATCAATATCATTAGGATGTTAAACAAGTGAAATGGAACTGGCACTTATAAGAGTGTAGTTTTCAAATTATGATTAGCAGAATCCGAAGATGGAAGCTTGCAATATGCAACAAAAAAGAAAACAAGGAGATAAAAGAATGGAGCGGCGGAAATGGTCATTGTAAATCATTTATGACATATGCGCATGTGTCGCAAACAGAAATCTAATTTATATATTTCATTTTCAATTTTTCCCCTAGTTACAGATATATATTCTTTGTATTCTCAACTGAAGGAGATAAACGATTGAATGATCGCATTTATCATTCATCCTATAATTGTACTTATCTTCATCTTGTTTCATTTTCAAAATTTCAATCTAATTGAAGATTAGACAAACAAAAATCGATCAAATGACAACAAATTTTGGACAACAATTTCTGACTTTCTCTTTCGTTAACCATTAATTATTCTTTCATTTTATCTCATTAAAGGCTTCCGTTTATTATTCTAAGAATCATTCATATAAAAGGAATTTATTAAGTAAAGAGAATAAATGAATACATTTAAATCGTCAAAAACCTTTTTTTGTTTTTTGATCTAATCTGATTGAAAATTCATTTGAATGTTATCTCTTTTTTACTTTGTATTTTCATAATTTTAAAAGTTAATTTTATAAGCGATAATAATATTATCGTTTTTCCCACATTAATTTTTTTTGAATTATTTTATAATTTTTATAGCTTGCAAGATTGAATAATTTCATGTTTACATGAATGCATGAATTAACACATTTTTGCCAATTATTAAACAAAAACTTTTTTAACTTCTGTATTTATCTAAATATGAAATTATTCTGAATTAACTTCATAAAGTTGTTGAACAAAAACTCTAACTCATATATTTATTTTAGAAATGCCAATTTTATCTAAACTTTTATTGCAATTCTGACCGTTTTTGATTTAAAGCAGCAATAAAGGAATTTAGCAATTCATTTCGTGAAATTGAAATTTATCGTTAAACTAATTAATTTAATGCGATCAAGTTACAATATTGAAGAAATTAGAGCTGGGAATTCCATTTTAACAGCATTCATTTCTTTAATTTACCTCATTTACCATTTCTATTTTATCATTTTATTACTTGCATCAGTCATATTTAAGCTTTTTTAACTTTAAACTTTTTTGTCACTTTTCAATTTCTCTTCTATTTTTTTCTTTATCCACCTTCTCTTCTAACCTTTAAATTACAACTAATAATATTTCATTTTCTTAAATCCAAAATGAATTGATTTTCAAAAATTAGAAATAAATAAACAGATGAAATGCAAATTAATTTCAAATCTTTATTGTAGAAAAGAAGAACAATGATTTGCAATAACAGTTCAACAATGAAAAGAATAAAATTTCACTGTCATATATATAGCGCTAATACTTCAAAATTTCTCCTTCATTTCATTTCCATATTAGCTTTCTGAATTTTTCCATTTTTCAACTTTTTAAATCCTATCATTTCAATTACACTCATATTGCATACAATCATCATATTTATTCAGACATATTGCTATCATGTAGAATAACATCTTAGTCTCATACAGAATTAGAATGTATTGAAAAATCCCTGATTTTTTATTTTATTTCGTTGTCTAATTCAACGATTTTTAAATCTATCTCTGATACTAACACGATGATAAAATACTAAGTATACATGGATCGTTAACAGCTCATACTATTTCACATTGATGCAACTGACCGTCATCTATTGTATCATCAATGGTAACAGACATAGACGGTAAAAGATAGATTAAAGAATACATTTTCATCTGTAGAAATAGACGGTGATATTTTGTGCAG